AAAGTCTATCTTGCGGCAATAATAGGAGTGTGGTTTCCATATGATAGTAACGATTGCTGAATATTTTGGCAGCGAACGCAGCGATCATATCTTAAAAGCTTTTACAGTTTTTTAAGCATTGTCTAGTTACCACCTCAATTTCAATACTAATTAGGCGGCGTGTGCGCGATTGTTTGCGGAGGCGGAGCTTAGCATACCTTGATATTCTCGCGGGAAGTTTAAAATAGGTCACTAGTATTCTCGTGGGGGTCTCCAAAGGACAAATTTGGATAGAACACTACGATGCTGAGCAAACGTTTTCGAAATTCGCGTTTTGCGACTACTTCCAAAGTTTGGAATCCCTTGAAAATTTCTATGACGCTTTCTAGAATGTCAAATAAAAATAACCGTATGGTAAAAGAGAAATCTAGCAATTGAGTGAAAATAAATTACACCTGAAAGTGCGCTGAGATCGACTTCTCATATAAGCAGGATGCTAACATAGTCAATTTTCAAGGCAAATTTGCGACCTCTTCTGAAAGCGCAAGAACAAAGTGAGAATGATACACTGATCAATTGAACTTTCTTCTTTAAAAGCCATATGGTAAAAGTAGCATTTGAAAAGTAGTTTATCCGTAAACGAAGAGAACGTAAGCCTTCCTCGACATTTTCAGCCCTTTTCCTTTATTGTTTGACAATCATTTTCTAATTAGCTTTTAAATTTAGCGCCAGCGTCTCAATGAAAGTCCCGGATATGTCGCTGAATTCTGGGCGATGTGGATCCTCTCCCAGTGCAAATTCATAAGTCAGTGGTAAGTTCGTATCTGTGATGTTTTGAATGGATTTCAAAACAAGATGCAAACGATTAACAACGATTTAATAAACAGTTGTAAGAAGACGTGTTACAGCATCGGTGGACGCCATGGTCGTTCCGCTACATATATCCCATAGTTCCTAGCGAACATCCGGTATCGATAGCTTCCGGTTTACATGAACATTACATCTCTTTCTCCCTAGTGGGTAACTCTTTAGAATGATATGGAAAGAAATAAAATAAACTTCAACTAATCAGTGTCCATGAAACTATGACTACTGACTGGAATCAAAGTCCAACGAAAACAAACGTTTTTGTACAGGCGACAGCATTTTAACTTAACCAACTATACTGCCACAGTTCACAGTTCACAGTTCAATAAGAATCTAGGCTTACAAATCAAGAATCTGGCGGGGAACTCGTTTCCAGGAAGATCTACGCAATGGTGGTTGACCAACCGGGTGAGATGCACCAGCTTGGCCCTCTGGGATAGGGCTAAATGAACTTGTAGGATTAGCTTGCACGCCAGGGGAGCTCACAGGTTTTGATGCAGACGGGTCAGAAGCATGAGCACGTGTACGTGCATCAGGCAGCTCTTGTTGGTGCTTGATGTCAGCTGAAGAGCTGAGACCATTGTCATGGGACGGATCATCACCACGGTTGATGACTGACTGGTCCAGAGTTTTAAAGAAAGAGGAATTTCTGGTAACTGTGCGATTCTCGTTTTGAGCTGTGATCATGCTGCCTTTCTCATCCACTACAGTCAAGGGGGTAGGGTCGTAAACAGTTGCACCTTTAGACGCAGTAAATGGTCTCTTCACTAGTACGGTTTCACCAGGTGAGATAGTGCTGGGTTTCACATAAACCTTGCTGTCAGCATGAGCCTTGAACTTGGATTTCTGCAAGAAATCGCGTTCGCGGACGATCTCCGACACAGGGTCAACGTAGTTGGTCTGTGGTAGCTTGTTACGCACAGGACGTTTCAGTAACAATACTGCTTGGGCCACACCAGTGGTTTGATGAGGAGAGGTGCGATAGTTTCTCAGAACCGCTTGCGTTTCCTTTCTCCAGTTTCTTCCTTCCACTTTAGCGGCTTTAGCAGTGTTTTCACGAATCTCTCTACCTCACCGTTGGCCCTAGGCCATAATGGGGTTACCTTGCAATGCTTGAAACCAAGCGCATGAGCAAACTTGGCAAACTCTTCTCCGTTGAAAGGTGGACCATTATCTGATCTAACAATCTTGGGAGTTCTGAATGTAGCAAATAGCTGATCTAACTTAGGTATGACAGCACTAGCGGACGTTGAGGACACTGGTTCTACGAACGGGAACCTTGAATAATCATCAACCAGTAGAAGTAGGGTTTTACCCTCAACATGCGCAAAGTCGATGCTTACTTCATCAAAAAGGCTGTCAGGAAGAGCTGATACTTGAACAGGCTCTCTAGCGTACACTGGGGTTACAACTTGGCACGGTAAACAGGCCTTGACCTTTGTTTCAACCATCTTGTCCATGCATGGGAACCACACCTTCTCTCGCAGGAGGGCCTTAGTTTTAAGTATGCCCAAGTGACCTTCATGGGCGATGTCAACAATTCGTTCTTGCAGCGAAGCAGGAACTACTAAGCGATCAGATTTTAACAAGACAGTGCCAGTGCAGGTTAATTGCTCCTTGACTTGCTCGTAGCGGGATAGCTCATATAGTGATACACCAGGTGGCGCCTTATGCCAGCAACCAGATTTCATTGCAGACATAACCGCTTGTAGCACTGGATCTGTTGCGGTTGCAGATTCTACCTCAGACAATGTTACAGCTTTTGGTACTGCATTTCTTGTAATAAAATAGATGTGGTCTTCAGACTCGATTTCATAATTGTGAGATTCCAAGTCTCCTACTGGGTGTCTCGAAGCATAATCTGCTGGGTTTGAAGCACCAGGGCGATATTCTACTGTGAATCGGTACTGCTGTAGCTCCATGAGCCAACGTTCTATCCTGGCGGACGGTTTAGAGGTGGGGTTGTTAAACAAGGAAACCAGAGGTTGATGGTCTGTGATTACTTTAAATTCCCCTCCATAGATGAACAAGTGAAAGCGCTTTACAGCCCAGTAAACTGACAAAGCTTCACGATCAATCTGTGGATATCTAGCTTGAGTTGGTGTCAGTGGAGAACTGGCATAATGCAAAGGTGTCACTTCATTAGTCGAAACATCTTTCTGGGTCAGGACAGCACCTATACCAATGGGACTACCATCGACAAAGATGGAAGTAGGTTTCTTTGGATCAAAGTATCCAAGGGAAGTCTTGGTAGATAGTGCCGCTTTTAGGCGTTCAAATGATGACTGTTCCTCCTCAGTCCACTGCCACTTCACTCCATTACAGGTCAGCTGTCGAAGAGGTCTGAAGATTAGTGCAAAGTTCTTGATGAACCTAGAGCAGAACGCAGCCGAGCTAAGGAGGCTTCGTACTTCAGATACATTGGTCGGTGGCATAACATTTTGAAGAGCTTCAACTTTTTTAGGATCAGGTGACATGCCCTTTTCAGAGAACACATGACCAAAGAAGAGCATAGTGGGAACTCGAAACTGACACTTAGGTAAGTTTATTGTTAGACCACTCTCCTGGAGTTGACGGAACACTTGTCTCAGATGTTGGTCATGAGTGTCCTTGTCTGCGCCCCCAACATAGATGTCATCACTGATGTTCTTGACGCAGGGTATGCCAAGGATTGCATCACCCACCTTCTTTTGGAAGATTTCTGCTGCGCACGAGAGGCCAAAATTGAGACGTTTGTATTGGAACAGTCCAACGTGTGTAGAAAACGTGCTCAGTGCTCTCGAGTCGGGGTGCAATGGGATCTGGTGGTACCCTTGATTTAAGTCAATCTTACTAAACACTTTACAACCGTTCAAGTCCGACACTACGTCATCGATGGTGGGTATGATGTGTCGCTCCCTGATGATAGCTTTGTTTAATGAACGCATGTCTACACAAATTCTAATCTCGTTCGGTTTATTCGGCTTGGGCACAACAACAATTGGCGATACCCAAGGAGTGGGGCCTTCTACGCGTTCAATGATGTCATCATTTTCAAGCTGTTTGAGTTTTTCCTCCACCTGTTTCCTTACATGGAAAGGGACTCGGCGATGTGGCTGTGCCACGGGTTTGACAGATTCATCTACATGTATGCGTGCTGGTTCACCTTTGTACTTTCCCATTCCACTGGTTAGATTAGGAAATTCCTTGAGAAAATCTGGGGCATCAGGTGGCAGGTTACCATGAGGTTCGACCGTACTGACAGCTTTAATAAGATTTAATGTTTGTGAGGTTGTCCAGCTAAGTATGGAGCTTGATGAACCCTTTGCGATATAGAATGTTTCCACGGATGAACAGCTACCACTGGTGACAGTAGCTCGGAACTTTCCACACAGGGTTAGTGGCTTATCAGACATGTATGGATACACTTTGGCACTTGTTTCAGCCAGTTGTGGCTTTGATTTAAAGCCATCAAAGTCTTTCTTGCTTAAGATATTCACGGTTGCTCCTGAATCTGCCATTATGCGGATAGGTGTGTTCATGATCGTGACCTGAAAGATAGGCTTGCCAGCTTGGTGTCCCTGTGCACCAATGTTAAAGGTATACTCTTTGCTGTTGTCACTATCAACACCGGCTAGACATGACATTTCACTACTCGGAGACTCTTCAACATCTGCAGACCTGGCATGGTGTTTACCTTTTGACGGTTTCTTTGGGTGCGAAGATTTGGACCGATTATTGGGTTTGCCACGACAAACTTTGGAGAAATGGTTCATTTTGCCACAGTTCAAACACTTTTTACCTTGAGCAGGGCAAGTTCCTTAATGTGGGTAATTTCCACCACATAAACCACACCTATTGTTACGCAATCCAGGCTTTGGTAAACCACGAGAATTCTCTTTCTGCTGAACGTCGGTTGCTTTATTTCTACCATAGCCCACTGCGTTGGATTGCTGTTTCTCCATCTCAGTGGTCTGTTCGTCGGCGGTTTCCATGGCGCGAGCTACTTTCAGTAAGTTTTCAAGATTGAGGCTCTGTTCGATTGCTTTACGTCTCAGGCGAAGCGATGAGGTTCCTTGAATAATCAATTAATCAAAATTGTAGTTGGTTACCCTGAACCTCCAACGAAGGCTGTTTCGTCCTTGTGATGCAACCTTTGTCATTTCTATGTATCGATTATTTAGATCGATCTGAAGCCACTGATTTTCATCATTTGTGCGAGCCACCCGACCCCCTGCGTTGTGCTGTGTTTCTTTTACGTGAAGTCTACCATAATGAGCTCTTTCTAAGTTACTCCATTGGGAAGAGGCACTCATTTGACTGTTGGAGATGACGCCACTTTCCATTCCTTGAGCCTCTGCACTGTTTAAATAGTATAAATGCTTTGTATTAACCACAACGTGCATGTTTGTTTTTCAATTGCCAATTCATACCAACCTGGCACATGCAGTAATATGGGCTTGGGTGGTCACGTCTTTTTTCGTTCACTGCATCACACCAAATTGTTACCAAATGATTAAAAAATGCTTTATTATTATTATTATATTACAAATTGCTGTGTTTTATAAGAAATTTCAGGCGAGAGGAAGCTGTAACTATACACGTACAGAACTACGATATATTTTTACATATGTTTCATATCGGCAATCAGCTGTTGACAGGTCACTTGCCTTTGGCAACACTTTGTCACTTTTGACGAAAGAATAGCAAAGCGTTCTGGTCCACGTTTATTGTCACTTAAGGGCAATCTTGTTTATGTGATAATGGTAATAATAATCCTAATAATAATCATTATAATGTTCGTAATAATAATTATAATTAAAACGTGGTTGCTCATGGATATGGAATTTTGCTCTTTGAATATACGAGGAGAAAATTCATATCTATGATTGCGTATATATTATTCACGATGTAAAGAGTTGCAAATGCCGCAAACTCTTTGGTAGAGATATAAGGTATATGAAAGGCAGAAGAGCCTAAAATTAAGAGGTACGAAAGGAAAAGAAAAACTGAGATCTGAGGAGAGTTCTGGAATTCCTTTGCGTGCAAATGCAGGTTTAGTTCACGCCAGAAGAACTCCACCTCAGAGATGTAAAACTCTCCAAAAGGGTACAGTTTAATTTTGTAGGCAACTACTTCAAAAATCGTTGTAGAAAATCAGGTTTCGGCATCGAAAAAGACTGAAGAATTTTCTGATAACCTAGAGAGAGGGGAGGGTCAAATTTCCTATTTAATTGAAGCAAACTCACTGATGGTTACGTAAACCTCAACTCTAAGGCAGATAGATCGTTCCCAAGTAACTGGTAGAAAACGAATGTATCTTGTATAAATCATAACTTTCAGTACATGCTGGTCAATTGTGTAGGATCCACCTTCCATGTGAAATATCTATAAAATAATGAGAAAATATAACGCAGTCACAACTTTTTGAAATAAATTTTCTCAAAAAGGAGATTCAATAGCGATAAAAATTGTAAACAGCTAAAAGGAACCATTATGGGGTTGCTAATTTCCAATGATTCCGCAGATACTGAGATGCAGAATGTAGATTGACGAACGCTGCCAACAAGCGATACCGTTCGATTATGATGCGTTGGCAAGAAGTTACTAGAAATGATGTCGTCAACAATTGAAAATCTGAAGATCATCAACTTGCAAATCACACTGTCTAATTGGACTCTATGCGATGCATCTGACCTACAGCAATAAGTGAGTTACTCTAGAAAGCTGAATCTAACCATACAACACCGTGAAATGTTAGATGCTCCGGGTTTAAAAGGACATTTTGGCCCAAATCTTACCGCTTCCGAGCCGTTAGCATCCATATAAGTTGGCCAACCGTCCTCATAGGATTTAGAGTGCGCTAGCTATAGTTTAAAGTCTGTCATCCATTTATTGCCATTGATGTCTCCTTGAGTTGCAACAGCGCGCACTTCAGTAACTTTCCCGAGATCGACTTGAAGCTACTCTTCGTCATCGTTCAATTTGACATACCATCCATCTCCTTTGTTAGCGTTTGGACGTCCATATGATGGTAGGGTGTTGAGTTGGTAATGACTTTTTGCCCTCATCAAGCTGTCAAGAATGATATTCGAATTGGAAACTGCAACAGCATTACTGTAGCAGTTATAATGGGTTTCTACGTTCAACAAATTTGAATACTCAATTAATCACAACTTTAACCTACCTTATCGCCGTTCACTGTCCACTAAAAGTAACAGGATCATTCCTTTTACAAAAGGAAAAGTTTTGGACTTTTTTGTTACCTATAAGCGGGACGTAGGACGCGTGAAAAGGTACGGGGGCGGATGCCGTGGGATAGAATCCACCAGCAAACAAAAAAAAAAGGCTATGAAATAAAAAATTGCAACATTTTTTCCGCACTATAATAGATTAATTTTGATAATTCGTTTATCTAAGGTTAGAAAATACTTAGCAAATTCGGCAAATTCACCTCGTCCAAACCGTCCTGCTTGGGACTTTAGACATACACATCGCGTAAGCTGGAATGCAATACTTTCAACTTCTTTTAAATTATAACTTATCGTGCTCCACGAGGATGTCTTTGAATTATTTTGCCTTGACAAGTTAAGTTTGAAAGCTCTTTTATCTTTAATAAACTTTTGTCAGCAGCGTTTTAGTAATGCCTTATGAAGCGTGGAAGCCCTGTATGCAATTCTACGATGACTGTTCCAGTAAAACTCATTTATCCTACTTACGATATAATTTCGTTGTAACATAACGATAAAATTTCGTTGTAACATAAAACATCCCTTGAATAAAGGCGATAGATACCAAGCAAGAAAAATTCGTTCATTAAATGTCCTACTCTCGAATAAAAACCAAATTTTCAGATATGAGAGTGTCCTTTAGTATAAAATTACACGAGATAAAACATACCTCAACTTCCTAAACCTCTACTAGTTACCACGATCAAGATTTGAACCTATCGAGAGAGGGATTTTTTGTTCTGTAGGTTAAAAAATACGTTGATCTCTCAGTATAACAGTCATGAAAGGAAAACATTCAAAAGTCAGCCTGCTCACCTTTGATAAAAGTAAGAAAGAGCCTTTGAGCATTCATCTTGTCTCTTCTTTATTCCAAACCGAGCAAAAGCATGTTACGTAATCATATTTCCAATACATAATCCTCCAAATTATAATTTTCTTACTAACAGGAAACTTTTTCCCGCTGAGATTCTAGTGAAGGGAAAAAAACATCAATTTTTTAATCAGGTTTTTGCAATGGTTGAAGAAGGGAAATTGGTGGTGATATAGACAAATAGGTACGAATAATTTTTTAGATTGAATGTAACAGGAAATTTATCTTTTATTTTTGTACCACTTGTTGTTATGAGACAGAATAATTTCCCAATACATCTCTTTCTTCACCTCCTCGCGGAGTTTTGTTTTTTTTAATCGGTTGAAGTAGCCTTTTTCAGGCCATTGGTCTTGGAAAAAAAGTGAAATAGCAGGTGAGCGACGCTTAGTGATTTCCTAGACAAGCCAAATTAACCTTGGTACACACACTTTTTGATTGTTTTGGCTGACTGAGAGCCCGGTACAGGATGTTAATGAACATGATCGCACATCTTAGAGTCCTAAGGTATACTACGTCGGCGTCACTGAAAAACACAACCTGCGTTGTTTTCTAAAACTTCTCAAAACTCTCCTTCCTGGGCACAAAATCACATATATGGCGGTGGAGGAAGCGTTCTCGATTTGGAATACGATAAACCAACTGCTATCCGTATGATGGAGGCTGTTAAAGACAAGGACTGGATTGATAGAAGAACAAGGGCAATTCTGCTTAAATTTCAAGTCCTAAACATGACTATTAACTTAATGAGCATCATCACATACCATTACGAAGTTCTTCCTTTCGAATTTGGGCTTACTTACGAAAGGATTGACACCATAATATTGTTTAATTTTCAAACTATGGCATGCAGCTTTTAACTATTGTGTCATTGGTATTTATTTTTAAGGTATCAGTATATATCACGATACTTCTCTGTGAGTGCCTCGCTAGCAATTGTGTTTTACATTATAAAAGCTAAGTTTATGCATGACAGTATCCACGAAGTGCGAAGGAATCCATTTGTAACAGTACGCTTTCAGTTCGCAATCTTTTTGACTGAAATGGAACATGCTGCTCTTTCATTTGCTTTATTCTTTGCCACGTTCAAAGTTCTCCATTTCATTCGACTTAATCTGCAGGTAAAAATACTAGCGTGGTCTTTAGCCATTGCGAAAAAAGACATTTTCTTAATCAGTGATTTTTATGTCTATTCTTGATATCAATTCACACGATGTAAAAGGTGACGAAGAGGAAGATACTAAGCTGTAAAATTCCACCAGAATTCAGGGACGGACGCTTTTTTGAGGAGACGGGAAGGGTAAATTTTTCAAGAACAACATGAAAACTATTTTTCCCCAGGGGCATCTTTCTGTAGAAATCTCACTAGAGGATCTTTATTTTGACTTTTGTTAAAACAACTCCGCTTTTTCCGAGTATGATTGTGTAAAAAACTAAAATAAATGATAGAAAATGCCTTTGCGCGTGTACAAAGGAATTTATTTAGGCTCTTATGCTGTATTAAGCTGTGTTTTTTAATAGTTTATCATTTCTCATCTTTCAAAATTTTCTTCCAGCTATTTGAGGACCAACGCTAACACTGTATTTAGTGACTTTCGTGTCCTCTGTCACATTATCAAGATGACCTTAAGACGTCATGTACCAGTTGATGTTGTCATTTACGGCCAATGTGGTTCCGTCTATATTCAAATTATGTTGGATTTGACAGTCAATTAACTGAGAAAAAATGTTAAAACGCCCTTGATGAATTTCATGAGAACAGTGTCGAGGTAAAATGATCTGGTAAGCGTCTTTAGCTTACTGATATTGACATTAATTTTAAGACACAGTGTCATTTAAACGTTATCATTTTTCCAGAAATCGCTTGTTAATTCTAAAAAAGCTATATTGTAACCTAAGAGTTGATTTATTGTAATAAAAAACATAATCATGATGTGCAAAAACTATCCTTAAATCCATGTTTTTCATTTGGGCACAAAGGTGTCATATTTCTTAGAGATGATATAGGTGAAAGCAAAACTCGCCAACAAAAAAGCTCCCACCGGAAGCAAAACGATGGTAATTTTTACACTTAATTAGTCTCCTCGCTGTCTATATTTCTATCCTCATTCTCCCTCGCGATGCCCTTTGTCGGAATATCTACCTCAAGTGAACTATATTTCATCCACGAGTAGCCCTATTGACAACAGAGAAACATTACAGATTCTTAAGATTTGTCGATCAGAACAAAATCAGTAAGTTGGACTCGTGAATTTTTCACTTCACAACTTCTGACGATTGCATATAGCCGAAAATAAATCATCTCAGGCACAATACCTATTAACCTTTAACTCCCATGAGTGACCAACACAGAATTTCTCCTAACAATGTCGATACAATATCAACCAGAAAAGTGACGAGAATAAAGAAAAATATCAAGTGGAGGATAACTAGTTGATCCAATACTTAATTCTCTAAACTAATATTATAAGAATTGTATGGTCGACAGTAAGGAGAATAAAAAAATTTGATCAGGGAGTTAAAGGGTTAAAGAACCCAATGGGCCTAGGTTATGGAGAAACTATCGCCAGATTTTAGATCCGCAATAAGATTGGATACCTTTGAAAACAACATTCGTAAGTGCGATATAGTTTACTGCACGTCATAATTAATGTAAATGTATCTTCATAAGAATAAGCAGGAGGACTTTCTATTTCAGGGATTAACCTCCGATTGTCTGTCTGAAACGTGTTCAAACGAATTTGCTATTGTGTGCAGGAGATCCATAAAGTCATTTTCCTCCTGTAAGAGATCACCTTTCATGCTCTCTGTTCGTTTAGTGATCGCAAACAATCTTTTCTCCACGTTTTCCATTCGTAGCTCTGTGCTCCGGATAATAGCTTCAGAATTCAAACAGAAGGGCTCTGCTTCAAAAAGGCACATGTTAACAAAAGTTGTCTCATCACAAAATAACCTAAATTCCGTCCGACTGCTCCCTTCATGAAACATTTCCATTGCACGTTCTTCAATGAAGCGCGCCATTTTAAGCTCTTCTGCGCTTTCCTCGGCGTTTGCTTTGGCGTCACCATAGGACTCATTGAGTATAGAAACTAACATATTCATTAGGAAAATAGTAGTGGATAGACAGAACAAAAATACAAAAGTAGGACCCATAAAGGGTTTGTCACTCCGCAGAGCTTGTAACGGAACCGCTTTTCCTAACAGGAATTCGAATTGAGACATTACGGCATTAAGATAACTAGAATATTCAAGGACTATACCACCAAATAACTGCATACCTGTTACGACAAATGCATTAAACACGATCAGAAAGAAGAACACATACGAGAGCTGATAGCCCACAGACTGCCGAAAAGATGAAAACAGGTATATCACATGTGGATTAAAACGAATTAGATTTAGAAGCTTGACTGTCACCATGAAAACAGCAACAGCAATAGATGCATTTTCCAGGGTAAGCCAATCCAAGGCTGTGTGGAAATGCATGACTTCATATGGATTTGATTGAATAGATTTGATAGTGTTCAAAACGCTTTTAGCTCTGATCATGTAGAATGCTACAGATGCTACAGAGAAAATTATCAAGGAGAAATCCACAATGTTCCAAACAGACTTGAAGAACCCAAAGCGTTGTCGATAAAGGTGAACTAACATAACTATGAAGTAAAAGAGAACCATTGCCATGAACAGAAACTGGCCAATTAAGAAAAACATCAGAGCTCCTGACTCAGTGCTGTACAACTCGAGTGTTTCAATTCTACTTGTAGTGTAGGCTGCACCAGTAGCTATGGCCTCGTAAAAGTATGTGGCGACGCTAATCAAGTTTGTATTGACGTTGAAAACAGCAAACTCTAGAATTACAGCTCGAGTCTGGCGATCAAGCCAACCGTGGCCGATAGTTTCGTCGAGGACACCTTGTGCAGTGGTTTCGTCATATCCCATGACAGCTGCATAACCACCCCCTTCATATGAATTATATGCGGCCTGGATAGGATGGTTGCAAAGTTCTGCTGCTGATTGGTATCGCCAAGGTTTCGGGCACATTTCTAAAGCATTTGGCCACGATGTGTTGAAGGGAAGAGGCTTCCAGCCGGGAAGGCTTAGGAGAGTAGTGTCCTGACTGTCTGAGGAATATTCGTAGTAGCAAGTTGAAATGATTTTAGGAGGGGATTCGCAGGAACCTTGAAGGAAAAATACAAAGTCAGAACTTAAAACCTTAAGCTTCTATTAATGACGTTACGGTGAAAAGAAAATACACAAACTGATTCTTTAAGATTTATAACTCAAAATCAATGTCCTATTGAAAAATCCAGTGATTTCCAAGGTGTGTAAATAGGAAGATTTTGTTCGATTAATTTTCAGCACACCTGGAAGTGAGCAACAGTATGATCATCAAAGGTGAAAACTGACTTTAATAAGAAGAAAATACGCTTAGTAGAAGTGGGTATGCCGCATTAGTTCAAAATAGGGCGTTCTATACATTTCCTATAATTTGAGTTTCATTGGTCTATGCACTTTGCAACAAGAGCCTTCGAAACTTATTCTGTGCATTAAAAAAAGAGAAAAAAAGAAAATAGATCAATCTCAATTGAGTACCTCTTTTAACTCTGAGCTGTCGCAACCAGGGCATTCCAACCAGTATGGACATTTTGTTTTCGATGTACACGTCGTTTTTCTCTTTAAGTCCTTTATACCAAACCTGATTATAAATGTTCGATAGAAATTCGTTCCTTAACCATGCTTCAAATCTTTGTGCATCAGATACCTAAAATAAAAAAAATTACTCTGAAAGCTGTTGACATTGTTATCTGATGAGGATGATATATTTAAATTGAAAAAAAAACAATAGTTTAAGAAAAAAAAAAAGGCGGATCCTAATACAGTACTGTGCAAAAGTAATGCAAACGATTATCGTTGTTTATCGCGATAATCGCGAGATATCGGCGATCTATCGCAGGGCTATTGTTCTAACAACTGCGGGATATTGCCGATATATCGTTGAGCTCCTCACGAATTATCGTTTCCCTTAGCGATATATCCTTTGAGCTCAGCGATATGTCGCTGCCACCTAACGATATCTCGTTTAAACTAAGCGACATATCATTGCAGCATAGCGATATATGGTTTGCGTCGGTAGGATATCGCAGTGGCTAAGTGTTAGATCGGTGAGGCAACATTGCGCCGCTCGGCGAATTTTTCATCAGACTGATACTGTCTGAGTGGGTAGGAAAGTAAATCTAGTGTATCATTCTTTTCGAAGTCTGTTTCATCAGCGTGAAAAGGGCAGTATAATGAATATAAGCCAGTTTCGCTACATACAGAGTCGGCTATGGTCGAAGTTTGCCACACGTTCGCTGCACATCAGTTAAGCAAGTTCGCTACTACACAAAATAGAACAAATTATAAGAAATACTATATTTATTATGATACTATCGAACAAACGAGAATAGCGAGAGCGAGAAAAAGACAGCTCGTGAAAACGGTACTCAGGGAGGGTGCAAAGCTTACTTTTTTTTAACGCGTTGCGATGTGTTATTGCATCCCCATGGAAACCAACCTGTATTTGCATATAATGTACCTGCGGGACACTACCGTTGACAGTCAGTTTTAGCGTAACCTAACCCTAACCCTAACCATAAGCGATGGTTACTTTATCTACGAGAAAAAGAATTGCTTGTCACCATAAGGAAGTATTTTATCCCGTACAAATATTGAAAGCCTTGAGAAGCGAAAATCTACAAGGAAGCCTAGCAAGTGTCACCAGGATCATCAACAAAATACAGAAAACTGGATCCACTGAAAACCGCCTTCGATCAGGAAGGCCGACAAAGCTTCCAGCAGATGCTAAAGCTCTTATTAAAAAGCAAATGCGTACAAAAGACGAGGCAACAAGCATTCAGATTCAAAAACAACTGGCCAAGCGTGCAATCGTTGTGAACTCCTCAACTGTGCAAAGATCGCGAGCCAAACAGGGAGAGACACTGCAGCGCACCCACTACTGTCAACTGATAAGAGTAGCTAATAAGGTAAAAAGACTAGAGTATGCACAACAAATCCTGGATTCCGGTGATAAATTCCATAATGTTGCATTCTCTGATGAATGCTCAGTCTCCCTGGAACAATACAGACGTACATGTTACCGAAAGGTCGACGAGCCATTGAAAAGAACATCGAAACCTAAACATCCACTTAAATTACACGTATGGGCAGAAATCAGCGGAAAGGGAGCTACTAACTGCATATTCGATGGTAAAATGGATTTAGAACTGCACTGCCGTATTCTGGAGACCATTCATCAATCAGACGCTGCCAGACCACAAATTTATGCAGGATAATGATCCCAAACATACGTCAAGACGAGCGAGGGCCTTCTTCGAGGAGAATGATATAAACTGGTGGCGTACTCCCCTAGAGAGTCCGGATTTAGATCCCATCGAGAACTTAGGGCACGAACTGAAATTTTACTTAGAATCGAAAGTGAAGCCGCAAAACAAACAAGACCTGGTTGACGGAATAAAGGCGTTTTGGGCTGAGAGGGTGACGGAAGAGAAATGCACTAAGTACATCGACCATGTGCTCAAGAAAGTCGTCCCAGCGGTAGTGGAGGCAAAAGGAGCAGCAACGCAATTTTAAAGATCGATTTCACAACTCAAAACAAAATGGCTCCTTTAGGAGCCACAAATTTCACAAAAGTCATTGACCAATAAAAAATTAACAGTGGTTATTAAAACGACTAAAACTGTAACTACATGCCTTTTTTACACTTAAAAAAAAACAATAATCTTGATATCTTATTAGTGAAACAGTCTTTGCACGACTTACACCGTGAAAGTTGCCTTCTATGTACCCTATTATTTTATGCTTACAAAAACTTATGATTGTTGATCAATTTAACAAACAGACAAACAAGAATATTGGCACTTTTATGAACCGCTCTCTTAAACATTAAAGAATAGGCTACTCATGTGTAGGTCATATCATCAATACGTTTACCTTTTTTGCGCGCACGAGACCAAAACTGAGACAAAAACTTTGTTTTAGTTGAACCTCGCTCTTCCAAAAAATACAATATGGTTAATTAAGAGCTAACAGAATCGGGCATTGATATTCCTTGTTTCCTTACTTATTCTCTGCACGTGCTACAAAAACAAAAGCGTGTGTGCATATTTCATTAAACTCAAAAACAAGAATTTTAGCACTTTCAAATTACCCGCCGACTCACATAACAATCCAAGGACCGAAATTAGCCCGCGGTTCCATTAACTCTATCAAAAAATTAAGTCGCTTTATCACACCTTTTTCACATCCTTTCGCGTGTAGTTAATTTAAATATGAAAAGCTCTCATGAAGCCTACGCCTCTATTGTTATGGAGAACAAAACACCAAGTAGGAACCAGTCATCTGATAAAAATCTCGATCCATCTACGGGCATCAATTTCTAGAAGAGGGGAAAACCTAATTCATTTAACATAAACAGTTCCCACCATTGCACAAAGAACCAAAATGAAAAAAAAAACATTGAAGAAACACTCGTTCAAGTAAAGTGGAGCCGAAGTCAGTATTCTGAAGTGTCTCGATCGGACATAGCTGATCCGTCTCCTATCAGACCCGGACAAAAAGTAACCCTCACACAGAGTTACTTAGATGAAATGTATTATGTTCTTCAACCAAATTATTTTTATGTTGTTTTGTTAAATCGCTGTAAAAATAAATCGCTGAAACGATATTTCGCTGAAGCGATATATCGTGATGATGTTCCTCACGCTCTACGATATATCGTTTTAGCGATATATCGTTGGAACGAGATCTCGCAGGAAAGTTCCGATATCTCGTCGATTTATCGTTCTAAAGGTGTCAAGAAAATCAACAATATATCGGAAGAATAAAGCGCGATAAACGCGATAATCGTTTGCATTACTTTTTCACAGTACTGTATTCGTTCTTGCATTTGATTGAAATACTTTATTTTTTAAATTGAAATGTATTTTTAATCAAAAGTGTTCAGATTCCTTACCGGGAGTGAAAAACTAACTACAATTAGCCATTTTCCAACATATGGCTTTGTAGATCAGTTGGGATGTGGAAGGCACAGATTGACATCCTGTCGAAGCCTTAGAGCCTTCTTTCTCTAATTGCAGCTCACCTACAGGGATCAATGCTTTAACCCTTTAACTCCCATGAGTGACCAACACAGAATTTCTCCTTACAATATCAGCCAGATAAGTAAAGAGAATAAAGAAAAATATCAATTTGGGGATACTAAGTTGATCTAATACTAAATTCTCCGAACTAACTTTATAAGAATAGTATGGTTGACAGTAAGGAGATTACAGATTTGATCTGAGAGTTAAAGGGTTCACCTTGGTTCTAATTTTTCTTTTAAAGGTCGTTTCAATTCTTCAACGGTTTTAGGATTGTCTTGCAAGAGGGCAATAATGACAAAAATGCCTTCTAACTATAAACTTGAAAGTGTGTTTTGGCTAAAACGATAATCTTACCACATTGAACTTAGTGAACCGATTTCTCATCTCATTTGTCATCAGGAAACGATTTCCATTCTTGTTGCCATAAGAAACGATAGCCAGAAGAAACATAAATATCAGATGAAGGATAATGTCTCTTGTCATGCTTGTTAACTGAGCTTCTTTTTTTGATCTCTCCCTCATCTTTTCCCGCTGATATTTCTTAAATCGCTGTTTGGGATCATCACCTACAAAGTCTATTCTAATTGAAATTGGATCGATTGCGATTTCCTCTTTTTTTTCTACACGTTGGTCCTTATTCTTTCTGATCAGGAGAAAGGAAATAGCGATGACTGCTATCATAACCTTCGTGGGCTGCATAACGAAAATATCTTGTCCATTGGAAATCAAGATGGAAGCAAGCCATTGCTCAGAGGTTTCCTTTCCCCACATCAGACTGTAAAACAGCGTAAACGTTGCTGCTGCCATTGTCGTACAGAAGCAGAGAAACCAGGCCACATAGACAAAGAAATGAGGAAGCATACAGCCAGTGTCCGTTATTTCATCCAAAAGTCGTTGGGCCTCGTCTGTCACTTGGTATGTGTCACTCCTTTTCTTCCTCGGTCTACTAGACTTAAAGAGGAAGGCAATTATTATGTTTATAGGTGCAATGATAATGCCACTTTGTACTCCGATGACTATCTGTCTCCAAGAAAACTTAAAAGGCCCAACCTGTATAGTACCATCGGATTCACCACCAATGTTATAGAACATGGCATTAGCTATCATTGCACTAAACAGAACTGAAAGGCAACATGAAGCCCTTTGCACACGTGTGAAGGTGCTGCTACATGCTTTTCCAAACACTGACATCCACAGGTGACTGTCGGCAATTTTTCGAGCAAAGCGCGAACGAACCTGAGCCGAGAAGGCAGAGTAAGTAGCGCTGTCCACAGTAACCTCTATTTGACCGTCGCCTTTCTCCAACGCAAGCCATCTATTAATGGGGAACACCCAGCTTTCTTCCGTCTGCCGGTCTTTAATGACCACAGTCTCCACAAACCAAGACGGGTTATCACCCAAATTGTCGTGTTCCAAAGTAATTTCTTTTAATGTGCCAATGGTTTCAGCCACCACCAGAACAAAGCTATTGATACTCCCTCGTCCGAAAAACTGGCTCGTGTCCCCTTTCTCTCGCAATGGAATTTGACTCTGCTCGTTCTTGTCGCCCTTGATACTAATGCTTATGTTAGCTGTTGTTGCTGAATGTTTCCAAACTCCGGTGCTTATAACCATATCGTAGTAATATGTTCCTCCCTTAACAACTGATATCAATCTAGGAGGGCAAATCTGAAAAGAAGGATATATTCTGGTGTTAAAAATAATCTCTAATACTCACCTGAGGGTTGACATCTACCGGTAAGAACGTAGCACGTTTGATTTATATTTCAATAGTAGCTTAAAAAGAAAAAATCAGTCTATTTAGGAATAAAAATATTGAATTAGATGTACTAGCAGCCATGACCATACTTTTTCTTCATCTCCCTTGTCGGCTCTTCTTGCAACGATCAATACGACGAAGTACAGAAGGAAACAACAAGTAATTGTCACAAGTACTGAAATATTGCCACTTTCAGCAAGGTTTAAAAACTCAGTAAAAACTTTGTCGAAGTCAATTGGATTCGGTGCTTGGATGAAGTTTCCACCAAAAGATGTCAAATGATTGCACAGGCATACCAGATGCGTGGTGTTTGAATCTTGGCTGACCTGTGGATATAAATGTCCTCAAAGATATCATCCAAATTCAACGTAAAGAGTTTTGGTAAATCGATTTCCCCTTAAGTTACCAACCTTAACTCAGTCCGCAAGAAAAGGAACTGATATCGGATATGGCTAGGTTTTGGCATAAGCTCTAAAAGACGCACCTTTCAAGGAGTATCGTCTCCTCGACTACAAAATCCCGAAAGTTTGGAATCAAAAACTTGTTTCCAGTTGATATACTTTTAATACAGAGCTAGTAGGTTTCCTCGTTGTGGACAAAAATGAGACACGAAGGACTTCACCTACCTAATGTATAGGTTTATCAGGAGTTGAAAATTTTTGCTTTATTTACTTTACCCTGCAATCTTCCGCAGTCCATTTTTCTGTTTTCTCTGACCAATACAAACAGCTTGACTGGCTGATGGTTAAAGTGTAGTTAACGTCTGTATTTGGATCATATTGCGGAACCATAGTTTTAGGGACTCCTTTCGGTGGTGGATCTTTAACGCCGACACATGACCGTCTTTCGCGATGATGATCGAAACATGATCTTCTTTGCCTTAAATGTTGACTTTCATTCTTAGAGCCTTTGACCAACAAGCCCACGTAGAGAAAACCCGGCTTAGAAGGCGTTACTTTAACAGACCCACCTTTGGTAAAGCAGGTTGTATCAAAAACTGTTTGGTTGTCACATTTAGACTTAAACGCAAAGGTAAAGTTGTGGTCGAAGTCCACCATCGTTGGTCGCTGTCCAAATTTAATCCGCATTTCAATTTGCACTCCTGTTATGGCCAAACCCAAGCTTAAAGAGACAGGGACGTCGGCCAGGTCTGCGTAATAACTTCGGAATGATGTGCGGTCAGGCTTGAGGAAATAATGTTGTGTTGTGTTGCTGGCGTTCTTTGGTGGATTAGAAATCGGAATGACGATCTCGATGTCACTATCAAGATTTGACACATTTAGCTTTTCTGCACTGTTACTTTTAAGCTCGAGGCTCGTGACGCTTGATTTGATTTTCTTGCTGCTATTGTCCCATGTAAAAGGATTAAAATCAACAGCTTGCATCTGAAATAGGACACAGTCTGTTAGAGTCTGACTCTCCAACTCTGGCAACTGACTCTTGTGATGACTTCAGCTATGGTTGTTCGGTCAATTGAATTGACGAAATTATGTCTTCTGAATTCAGAGAAGATCAATGCAGATTGCTTTCATATTTTATCGCGCGAATAAACTACATGCAGTTGAATTTCTTAAAGAACAACCTAACGTCATTATCAGCGATTACTAATGACCTTTGTCTTTTCTCATATTCGTTAAAAGATGAAGATAAGAATGGCATCATACCTTTACATTTATCTCTCCACTACCTATATTTCCAAGGCTGCTGGGGAGTTTGAATTTACTTGGCCCATCTCCCATGCTGAGTCCTTTGGCATCATTGGCCGTGACCTTTTTCAGAGATATTGCTAAGTTAGGAGTTTTTAGGACCAGATCTTCTGATGGCACCAAACGGCCAAGAAATGCATCACTCATGCTGCTCAGTATTTCGGAGGCCTTTTTTACAAACTGGAAGGAGAGAGAGAGATTGTAAGCCACATCGTGTTTGAAAAATGACTGTTAGATTTCCTTAGACTCTTAATTTTCCTTCATAGCCCTATAAAACGAGTCATCAAAAATTGTCGTCAAAAAACTTATTCCAGCAAGGGAATACGTGGGGGAATACATTTTTATTGTGGAAGCTGCGTTTGCAAACCGTACCTCTTGAGATGGCGTGGTAGCTGCCGACTCGGCTTTATCTTGACTCGAGCCTGCGGCAGACTTCAGAACATTTGCAAGACAGCCTGTAACACTTGAAGCTGTTAGTTCCAACACCGGTGTAAAAGGCTCCTCTGGATCGTTAAGGGTAGAGATCATCATATTTGAAGTACTCTCGGTCAATTGCATTGTCAACTCCTGTTAAAAAAAAAAAAATAATAAAAAATTAAAGATTAAAAAAATATATATATATACATATATATAAAATATCAACGAATCATCTTGCTCTTCGGAATATTAATAGCAAGAAAACGGATCACAATGTTCGGGGAAAAAAAACAAAAAAAAGGCATTTTCTGAGATTCTAACGTAAGTCAAACGCAAGTTCTTTAATTAAGTTTACCTGTAGGTTTGACATCGTTACTTTTCTCGTTGTTATCTTCAGGTCAAAATTTCTCATTTTTTTGTAATCAGAGTGCTTTAGGGGCAAGTAAGAGACTCTTTCGCTCAAACACAGTGAGCATTGCTCAGTTAGTCGTCGAGTTTATCTATTATTAGGGAGGCATTAGCTTAAACTCAATATCACTTTAATGGACTTGCAACAGAGATCAGTTCGTTTCCCATTACCATGCACAAGCCAAAATTGATTTATCGAATATGTTTCAATCAAAAAGTATAGAAAAAGAGGAAAAATTCAATATATTTATAGGGCGCACCAGGTTTTCATTATTGCTGTTATCGTTGACATCAACCTCAGCACCCATAGCTAAGCTCACCACTGACATAACCAGGCGAGACATTTCAAGATTCTCTGGTGTTATGGCTGTAAACTTCGTAATTAATGTGCTGAAGATCTACAAAAAGAATTGTGTTAAAGATATTCAACGCTCACCTACCACTCAAGATAAATAGAAATCGCAATAAAATTGTGTAGTAATACAGATAATGAAAACGAAATTACTGTAAACATGTTTAAGTCTTGCATATTACAATTAAGCAGTTCTTTTTCACGTACCAAAGCTTTGTCTTGAGGGTCCAGTTCTTTTTCACATTCGCTTTTTTCATTCGCAGACTTTATGACAGATATACCGAGTTGAACAGCTTGGCTAAGTTCACCTTTGTTGAGAAATCCATCAAGCTTATTACCCTCCATGACTACAAAACTTTTTAACTTGTTTGCAACTTGCTCGGGTGATGAAACACACGGATCAAGGCTATATGATGGCTTTACCTGCGGAGGAAAGGTTTTATTGTAGTCTTTTGTGAGGAGAATCGAAAATTTGTGTCCAGGGGTAAGAATTCTTAGGGGTAAGAATTCTTAGGGGTAAGAATTCTTAGGCGTTGTAGTTAATATTACAGATTTTAAATGGATCCTAGCAACGATGCCGTGATAATGGAGGATCTTGGAAGAAAAACTCTAGGGGTTAGTAGGTACAGAAAAAACCTAGAACATACTGTTTATATAGATCAAAATTTTAAAACATGGAAATCTTTGGTTGAGTTCCGAATTTTTCTTGCTTTGTAATATCAATCACTGCACCTTGACAAATAATTTCTGTTCAACAGCTACCCCAACTGCATTTTTGATAACAATAGTGACTTCTAGCAGATAATCTTTGTCCGGTAATCCAGTCGGTAACACTGTCGATACAGACGAGGGTGATGTGCCATAAGATATAAGCTCCTCTCCATGGGCGAATTCATAAGTGAGTGGTAAGCTTGCATCCTGCCAATCGAAGCACTTGAAAGTAAACTCGGTCTCTAGCGAAACGCCCTCAGAGACTGACGGCGTGCAGTAACCACTGTGCGGCTCTCCTGCAGTTTCAAAGAGGAGCATAGAAAACCCGTATGTCCCCTCCCAAGATTTTACGAATAATGTTAGATTGTATTTTGATTTGGATTGTAATGAATTCTTTCTGATGATCATATTAGTAGCATTTACAGCAGTGGAAGTCATATTGGGCAAAATAGGTAGGTTTACCCATTTTGAACCATTCAATTTGGACAAGCGCCATTCATAAGTGGATCCATGACAAGGAGTGTTAAGACACTCTGATGTCACCCGGAGCTTGTTTGATGCAGACACTATTGCGCCGCAATCCACAAAGCATCTAAGAAAAAAAATAAACTATAAAAGCAAAAAGAAAAACAAAAATAATAACAAAAAAAGAACATACACAAACATAAACAAAAGCAAGGAGCAGTGAGGAGAACTATCAAAACAGTTGCAGCTTCAATAGCACTTATTGATTTATAGTTGAATTCAAATATGCCCACGCGCTTAAAAAAAGTGTTTCAGTTGCATGGCGATTTGACTCCTAGAAATCACTACCTACCCGTCACTAGTGGAGCAGGTCTTTAATAGCTGCACTGCACGTTGGCCAAACCTTGAGATACCTAATCAAGTTCTTACTTCCAATTTGTTGAAATTATTCTTAAGATTCTAATCTTATCTTTCAATAACGATGTAAATACCAGTGTCTGCTTCCTCGAATCTCTCGAAGATCAAAATATTTTCCCAAGTACTTTAGAATCGGCCTGTGAACATTGGTTTGTCATAATTCGAAAAAAAATACCTGAGAGTCACCTGAGGTACCTCTCCAGCAGCTATGGCAAAGGACATTTTAGCAAATGAACTTCTTACATCCTTGGAAACGGTAAGTCGTAGGAAGTAAGTCTTATCGGTTTCAAGTCGACCAGGATCAATTCTAATTATTGTGGAGCTTAAGTTTCCTTCACCATGAAAGGAACCGAAACAAGTGTTGCTCACACCAGTTTGATTCCGACAGGTCCACGTGAAGTTGAGCCCAGTATGTATTCCAGGACCAACATCAGCATCGTAACTCAGGGAACCATCCACAGTCACAATGTTTTTGGATCCCCATCGAACACTGCTTCCCCCATCAATGATTGCTCGCACTGGAGCTGCAATAACCTCGATGAAACCATAATCAAAAGCATTGAGCATCCGTGAGGATTCTTGATCTCCAACTGTAATTGTAGCATTGAATTTGACCTGGTAGATACCTGCTGGTATGGATCGTCTGTTTATTGTCCACTCCGTTGTTCCTTGACTAACTAAAGTACCTAGTGATGACTCGGAAGAAGCAAGCTCCATCTCACTAACCACGCTCCATTCGAAAGTGCTTTTCAGTACAGTCAAGTCTTCATTTAGACCCTGTATCACGGCTTCCTGGACCTTTTTGACTGAACGACTTACAGGTGTGGCATGGTACTTGTCTTTTGAAATATTTCTGATGGTCACCGAGAAGTCTCCTAAGAATATATTGGAAAAACATCTGCAGGTAGCTTTCAACCTCAAAGAAACAAGCTTTCTGTAACATGCTTTTAACAACAAACTCAATTATCTTCTGGTGTTTCACACCAGGGCTTCTGTTATAAAGTATTCTAAGGCTGGGTTCACTTTTATCAAACCTTGAAATAAATATGATAATTCTACTCAGACTACCTTGCTCGATTATAGAAATTTAAAGAACTTAACGAACTGATTAGTTTTTTCCCGGTTTTGTTTCGCTGAAATTTAAATTGAATCTTACCGTTCGGCTCACATGCTATTCCATCTCCAATGTAGTCTTTGCGGCACTCACAACTGAAGGATCCCCGATTGTTAAAGCAGTGAGCAACTCCATGACAGTTATGAGCTGAGGTTGCACATTCATCGACATCTACATAATTTAATAAATGTGTTTCAGTCCTATTACAAGGATGAGTGCCCCAATAAATAACAGACAACAAGAAAGAATTGCTCTGGAAAATATTTCCTACAAACACAACTTTTACCATTTCCTTCATATCCTTTGAAGCATGTGCAATTGAAAGATCCAATTGTGTTATTACAAACTGCCCATGGGTTGCAGTTGTGCACATTTGTGTTGCATTCGTTAATATCTACAGAAAAAAGAAATACGTATTTAGGACTATATAGCTCTCAAACCTAATCTCAAGAAACAAACAAACAAAGAAAAAAACACCTCATAATTTTTCTCATGGCTCATATCCAGAAGAATGGGACATGAATGATGTTTTGTCATTGACAGTGATGATTATCAAGTGACTCTTAAATTGTTCTAAAGAATGTCATGAAACAGATCTTATTCATAAACATCAAAAGCTGTAAGATTACATTTTGAAAATTTCCATATTGTAAGGACAGGTATTCTGTCAATAGTATTGTTATTATTATCACCATTATCATTGTTGTCTTTTAATCAAGGTTATTATTTTAATTCTTATCAACATTTCCAGTCGCATGAGTATCTAAGGTCTTTTTTTAACAGTTTCATCGACGTAATGTCAAAGTTCACCAGAACGTTTAGCTAACAATTCCTTCAGAATGTCAGCGGTAGAGTTCGTAAAGGTGAGCCAAAGAATTGAGCTTGTTATACATACCATTGCAAAATCGTCCATTTCCAGAGTATCCAGGTAAACATGTACATACAAATGATCCATTTCCATTAGAGCAATTTGCCTCAGGAGCGCAGTCATCCAGTTTTTCCTTACACTCGTTTATATCTATGGATTTAGAGGTCATTATAAAAGTAAATAACAGCTTGCATTAGATGAAGTGAAACAAGAAGTTGTTTTGATCCAATTTGGAAAATGGCCCTCGTTTCTAACCTCAAAGAAAACATTGACTTTATTTTGAAACGAGGAGGCAAAAATGATACAGGAAACAAGACCAAACATCCAAATCTTCAACGCGCTTACTTGTTGAGGCATACGTTTCTCAGTGATGATTAGTGAAATTTTCCATTTCCTAAATAAATTTCAAAACTAAAAAACATTAGCAAAACTCGCAAAATACCGAGTCTTTTGAAAATCCAACAAGGAATTCTTGGTACCCATTTTTTGTACTGGCACGCATTATCTTTCTGCATGAGAATAAACCATCATTGATGGAACGATCTCGTCGGAGTTGGAAAATATTGTATAGCATACTGTTTCGTGTTGTTCTATACTACAAGAAGGAGGCACGCAACTACTAGCAGTGAAATCACTGCCTATTTTTAATTAAGCCAATAACCAAATAAGCTAAGCTGTCAATCAAATTGTACATATCGTAACACATGCCCTATCCAAATCTGGAGTTAAATGTTGCTCGTCAAGTTGTAAAGGGTTACGTGGTTCAAAGTGATCTATAATTCACTTTATTTGAGAAAATGGGTACGATACCAAGGTACGCATTAATATCACAGGAAATGTGAGCATACATGTAGGGATAAGATTGGGCTGAGCTGCATATGAATCTTTGAAGAGTTATTCATATCAAAAATTGTCAAATATTTGACTGTGAACATCGTCTGTTCAGAGAAGGGTACCAGTTTTCGAGAGCGAGCACGGTGAAAACTGGGAGCTTGGGAACACACATACTTTTCAAGAAAATATCTGCGAGCATATTTTCGAGCCTATTAGGAAATATTGACTTGATGATCTTTCAAATAGCTTTTTTTTTCTTGGGACAAAATTTTATCGTCCAAAGCTCTTTGGCAAGTAGGAAAAAGACGTTTATGCATCCTAAACAACAAAATGAGACAATCCTATCTTAAATTGTGCATTCCGTTTGAAGGTTACGGAAAATCACTTGTCTTTATAACCGGGTATTCCCGGTTTCAGTCGAGAAATATTTGAGCAGGTGGAGTCAGTCAAATATCATACCAACACAAATAAAACCGTCTCCAGTAAATCCTTGAAGACAAGTGCAATTGAATGAGCCCACAGTATTGTTACAATGTGCCATGTCGTGACAATAGTGTTTCTGCTCTTGACATTCATCCACATCTGCAAAAATCATATCAGATGATGTAAGTACCTGTGTGCGTCTGTCCTGCCTATCCTATCTTATTTCATTTTTTTTTGTCAGTCTGTCGAATCGTACGTCCTAGAGAGTACAGAGAGCGTAATTCTTGGTACATTTCAGTGTGCGTATGCGTGTGTTTCCTAACAGGACTAATACGCTGTTAGACAAATTCGCGCATAGATTGTATTGGATATGTTTTTCTACTTGGTATAAGGCTCCTTTTTTTTTCGGGAAAATTTTTCTATAAAAGCAGAAAAGCGTACGCGATGTGACCAAAAGGTTCATGAGCCAAGTGGCTAGCTTGAGCTGTCTCGGTTTTCCCAGCATGTTGTTGGATGATAGTTGTTCCTTAGTCGGAGCTAATGGTGCCTTGGTCCGCGGGAATGAGAACCCATGAATCTATGTCTTGAACTTATCATCCTGCCTCAGGATGTTGCAAGGACAATTTCCATCGGGGAATGGGAGATTACAACTGCATATGGGGCTTTCACGTCACTTTTGGGTGTGTTTCATACGAGATACGGCTTTGTGACGACTTAACATGAAACTTTATGTCCAACTGTTAGAATTACCTGAACAACCGAACAGCTCCACCCTCATGGCAATTCCCTCGTTCCAGTTAATTGGGCGAAATCGGACGTAACGTCCCATGATGGAGGGATTTAAGTCGTTGTAAACCATTGCATACCTGTCATTATTTCCACCAAAAGCCTTAATGTATAAAAACAAAAATGGAAAAGAATTTGCTGATATCTTCAATCGAGAAGGTTACGATAATTAAATCTTACTAAATTTTTGAAAATTGTTACTTATATTTTAAAGTAAAAAGCAACTAAAGAGGATATGGCAGTTCTAGGTCAGCGTGGGACGGTAGTTTCAAAAGTAAAGTCGTCGAGGTGGTAAAAGTATAAAATGTTCATGCAAGATGTTCGTCTGGAGAGGTATAGACTTGGTACCAAAATGAAAAGAATTTTCCTTCTTCCGATGACATATCTAACTGACCGCGCACCCCGGCCACTTCAAAAGGTTTCAATGATACTTCAGAATGTTTTATACAGATTTTCCAGAACTATGCATGAGTTGAAACAATAAAAGGAAAAAAATTCAAATTCATGGTATATATGATGCAATCTATGGATTTTTTTTACACTACTAGCTTCTTTTAAGGCAAAAATATAAGGAAACTGTGATGCTGCGTCGGTGGGAGGGTATAAGAGGGTAATTTCGTCATAGCGAAGTGAGCGGTGGTCCTTTGCTCTTACGAAGGGCCAACGCTCGAAACGTCGGGTTTGAAACTCTTTATGGTGGCCAATTTACGTTTTCAACTCAGTTGATAATACTAATTTAGCCCGTAGTACTCTAATATACCTTTTTTACTGTCTCCCCCTGTTCTATGTAATAATGGAAATTAATTTCGTCGTCACTATATTGTAGATTGTAGCTAGTAACCCATTTAGCCATGTTAGGGTTGTTCAGTCCTTGTGTGGCAATTCTCGTTACGATGATATTGTTTTCTAGCAAATCAATCTGAAGCCATTGGTCGGCATTGTTCGTGAGAGGCAGCCAAGTTCCCTCTAAAGCTTTTAGTCTGGCCTTATTCGCCGCATGAGCTGATTTCAGTTCTGAAGAGGCAGTAATTTGTCCGTCAGAAATGGCACCGTTTTCCATACCAAAAGGGTCTTGACATTCTTTAAATTTACAGATAAAAAACACAAAGTTTTAATTGAGAGAATATATTCAACTGCCTTCCTTGCCAAAACTGAGTTATAAAGGGACAAAAAGAAGTAGATCTTAATGGTAGAGCATATTCCAGCGGGAGATGTTAATCAACTTTTAAACGTAAGGGAAAAATAATATTATTGGAGTCATTACTAAATAAATTTTAAAAAAAACTGACAGAATGAAATTAAGACTAACCGAGGCATTTGTATTGGGCGTAAAATGGAAAAGGAATGGAATGATGAAACACAAGTAGAAGATAAGTGAATTACGAATTACACGTCAATCAACGTATTACTCGTTATCAACAAATCATCTTTACCTAAACAGCCGTACAGCTCTACTAGCATTGTTATCCACCCATGCCAAGCTGTTGGTCGGAAACGGATATATCTTGCTTTAATTGGTGGAAAGAGGTCATGGTACACCACAGTGTCTTTGTCTGTGTTTCCAACAAAATTCTAGAATGAAATTAACACTCTGAGAAACGTAAACTTACTGCCTATGTTGCATGCACTGCATTCGTCGACCTTGGGTTGTCTCAACTATCTAAGCCAAATTTAAATCCACCATTTTAAAATAGTCCACAAGAATCCGTTAGTGCCATAATCCACGCGACATGAATGTCAGTCTTTATCAGAGAACATGCCTTATTTCTTAAAGTGAACAACACATTTTTGTTATCATCACTTAAATTACTTTCCGTCTTTGAAAAACGAAAATATCTACAGAACATTAAAGACTTAATTCTCCTATAAAATTGAGAGCTAACACTTTTTGGAGGTTCTTTAGACTCTATTCCGAACGACAGTTAAGATAAAAGTGTGCTAAGAGCGAGATTCCGAATCAAGTCACGTGATTTGTCACATGATACAATGAAAAAGGTACAGATCGCACGAAAAATCCTATTTTTAACGCGGTTGTTTCCAGAAAATGGTACTCAATAAAGAATCGTCAAACCAGCCTCACCGCCTTTAGACGTTCGAGCGGACATGTTTGCTTTTACATCGTATACTGACTAATGTCACCTTCTGAAAGGCCAAAACAAGCCTTAAACATCTCTTGTAATGCTAGATTATCCACGGATTTAAATCATGGAGATCGAAGCAGCTAAAATTCTCTGCTCTGCTTTTTGATATAATTATCTTATTCATGAGTTTAATTTTTCCACTGTAATTTCAATTAGACTCCTTTAATTATTTTATTCCCTACAGAAGGAGGCTGTGGGAAATGAACAGCACATACTTTGGTGCTTATTCCATGAAGCAACGCAGTGGTTTCTCTTAATTTAAGCTGAATTTTATACTTTCGAATTGATCGCTTAGAGAAGTGCGTGGTTTGCCTCTTATAGTGTATTTATTTTTATAATCCCAGTTAATACAGATGGACTATTAACGAAGATTACTTAAGATAATTATCAAACCTTCGCCTCCATATGTCCACGTTCTCTATAAATGTGGAACTTTACTCCATCGTTGCTGTAAGCTAAATTGTAGTTGATTACCCAGTGCAAAAAAATTTGACTGTTTCGTCCTTGCGTTGCAACCTTTGTTATTTTAACGTTTGGATTAATCAGCTCTATCTGGAGCCACTGGTTTTCATCATTTGTGCGAGCCACCCAAGCCCCTGCTTTGTCACCTGATTCTTTAAAGTGAAGTCTACCATTATGAGCAGCTTCATTGTGATCCCATTGAGAAGAGGCACTAATTTGATTGTCGGCGATGGCCTTGCTCTCCATCCCTAGAGCTTCTGCACACCCTGAGTAGCATTAATGTTTTGTATTAAACACAAATATCATGTTTTTATTGCAATAGCTACTTCAAGTCAATTTACAGCTTGCCCTAATTTTTCGTTTGTCAAGTATACTTACACTCCACGGTTTTATTCTGTTTCATTACATCATATTGACATCATACACACCAAGTTTTTACCGAATCAATGAAAACTAATGTAAAAAGCATTGAATACGGAGAGCTCTTTCCAGTAGGTGTGATATTGCGTTCGGTTTATGAGAGAAAAAGGAGTCATAAGGTCAAGGAATAAAACAGCAATGAACTTAACGAGAAGCTTGGAAAGTTTCTAAATTATTTGCAAGCAAAATCGAAAAATCTCCTCGACGACCTCAGTTACGAGTTCAATTTCCACATCAAGAACAACCCCACCTCAAAAGTCATTTAATTAAATTTGACTTTTTACCCTCATCTATCACTCAGTTTCTCCGGAAATAACAGCTAAGTTTTCAAAACACTTCTTGAAGCAGTTACCAAAAGAAACATATAAATCGTAGCCTTTTGGCACAAACCCCAGTGGCACCACACCATATGAATTACATCTGATTCGTTTACCTTTTAACGTTTAAAGTTTCCACACATTTTACGCGTAATTAATTGCCACCATGATTAGGCCGGAAAAAAAAAAAGTTCTACCATCCTTTTCTTTATTGTAAGCTCATTTATAGATAGCAAACTTACTAACGGATCCATAAACCTCAACTCTGAGACAGATAAGAGCTTCCCAGGTAACTGGAAGAAAACGAATGTATCTCGCATAAACTGGAACTTCCAATGGATGTTGGTTAATTGTGTTGGATCCACCTTCCCTGCGAAATTTCTAACAAAACGAGAAAATTTGATGAAGTAACATATTTTGGAAAATCCTTTTTACTTAAAAAAACGATTTTGATGACGATAAAAATTTCAGACAGCTATATGGAACATCTATGGACCCCCATTTTTCCCATGTTGTTGTCGAAATTGAGAAGCAGTACATTGATGATCGTATCCTTTCGACCTACTAACAGACGATGCAGTTTTGATTATGTTACGTTGGCAATACATTTATCGCTCTAACTGAACAAGGGACCGACATCTCACAAAGTTACCACTATCAGGATTCTAACATGTAATAATAAGTAACACACCAGACAGTTTATCAGAAGAAAACAAAATCGTCTCACTCCAAGAAAAATTACGAAACGACTTCTTTCGACGAAACACCCCTCTCCCAATCTGCTTGTATAACGACGAACGGCAAAACAATTCCTATAAGTTTGGTACATAAACCGAACAATAAAGTAGGTCTGCGACTCTCGTGAACCCTACAGCCAAACAACTTCCGTTACCTACACACCGATGATAGGCGACGTAGTTTGTTGTCTAAATTGAAGACAAAGACGAACTTAGTCGTAGACAAGGAGCGGGTTAAAATATCAAATGCTCTCATCGTTATTAATGTAACTAACGTAACTAACCCGGTTGTTTGCTCAGTTGGTAGCGCATTGCATCGGTATCGCAAAGGTCATCCCGTAACGTCCTGAATTTTATTTTTTCGGGCCTTATTTTGACAACTGCTAAAGTAGCATTCATTACTGCGAATATCGCTTTCATATTCATTTAGAGTTAATCCTGGGTTCAAACCGTGTACTTTAAGATCTTATTGGACACCATCATAAAATGATCAATTTTCCGGGGTAAAACAATATTTTGGCGCAAATCGTACCACTTCTAAGTCGTTAGCATCCTTATAAGTTGGCCATACTTCCTCATAGGATTTAGACAGCGCTAGTTTAAAGTCTATCACCCTTTGATTGCCACTGATGTCTCCTTGGGTTGCAACAGCGCAAACTTCAATAATTTTCCCGAGATCGACTTGAAGCCACTGATTATCATCATTTTTTTCGGCGCACCATCCATCGCCTCTGGTACCGTTCAGACGTCCATACGATGGTAGGGCTATGTAACCGTTTCTTTGATAATGACTTGATGCCCTCAGGAAGCCGTCAAGGATGATACTTGAATCGGAAACTCCAACAGCATTACTGAAGCAGTTATCAAAGGCTTCTGCGTTCAAAAAATTTGCATATTTCAGTCAATCTTTGCCTTTATTCTTAACATAATATGCACGACATGTCTAAGCACAGAATTCTCTAGCTTATAAAAATTAAGGAATTACAATACAAAAACTGTGAGAAATCTATTTTAGAACCATTAATTCATTTCTCGCTTGAAGACATTATTTTCATGCTTGCCAATGGGTTAATATGGTGCGCGGAATAATTAAGAGGCCAGGTGGGCTGCTATCTCCATTCCCCATTTCACATCTTGATGTTTTCTCAGAAAAGTAACTAATTTTGGCGCTCATGTTTTCTTTGCAATTGATTCACTCAAACCTATTGGGAAAAATATTGCCACAAAAACAAATACAACTGTCTGTTGTTCACACCAAGTTAGGTTTAGGCTGAGCATCTTGAAAAGAATTCTTTAGCCGAGGGATATTCTGTTTTGTCAAAAATTTTCTACTGATACCCTTAACCGTTCAATAGGGTGAAAAAGAGAAGAAATTGCTGAATAAGAGAAAAACAGCAGTAAAGAATAGAGAAATTAAATTCATTTGTTTGAAAAATATTCGATATCGCTTTCGCACTCTCACTGGTCGATAAACATGTCTTTACGTCACACGTTTTGTGTTTCTCGGCAAAATTCATAACCATTTCAAAGTTATTGCATGATTCAGAGTGTGATTTCTAGAACAATTTAAAGAAAATGGGGAAGATTTTCGAGTCTTTAAATCTCAGTGCCTGAGACTCGACGATGTATGGATTAACTCGCAGATGAAATACTTGCGTTTAATTACGTTTTCATGGCCTTAAGAGCTTGCGTAACAAGCTCTGCGCGAGGTTTATACGTATTTTAGCCAGGTATCTTAACCTCGAGAACACCCTGTAAACTACTTTCTTCACTGAGACATCAAAGTTTCCTTAGGTACAAAATCCCACAAGTAAAACATACCTCCACTCGCTAAGCCTCTGCTAATTACCACGATCAAGACTTGAACCTATATGCGGAGGGATATAGTTTTTGAAGGTTAAAAGACAGTTTTATCCCTCAATATGGCAGAAGTACAAAGAAAACATATTTAAAGGCCGGCAGGCTCACCTGTAGCAAAATTAAAGGCCTTTGAAGTTTCATTTTGTCGCTATTTCATCCGGAACAGAGCAAAGGTAGTTTTGTTATGTTGATATTGATTACATAACTCTCCTAATTTAAATTTTTACCGACAGGTTTAGGAAGACTGCGTAAATTTTTTATTACGCTTATATTCGAATAAAGAACTGATTCCAGAAGACCAAAAAGAGTATTATCTATTTTGGGGGAATATTAGACAAATTACGTATTAAGATTGCGAAATTTTTAGCTTTAAACAGGAGCCTCCAGGTTAAACAAAATATTGCATTGTGGTTTCTGCTAAGGTTAATTCACTATAAATATATACTTCTTCTTAGAGACAGTTACTTTGCATCTACCGACAATAGCAATAGCGGGGGTTCATAAACGGCTTGTAATAACAGTTTTTAATCAACACAGTCTCCCGCAAACAGTTCTTTTCTTAAAGGAATTATTTAAATGTAGCTTTGAATTCTTGAAATAAAATGCTGTCTCGGTGTGTTCTTACTTGTGTTCTATTCTTAACCTTTTTTCCTCGTACATGGTTATTATAGTTTCCGCCGTTACACATCTTCACATTTCGATTGTTGTACAAAAACAAATTTTTTGGCGGGCCTCTGCCTGAATAGCCTCTAATGAAGGGACTATGTCACACTGTGTTTTGTTCACTGCGGCTCCAGTTTGACACTTAAAAGGCGTCAAACTGCTTTTGTTCCCCAAAGTAAATTAACGAGAAGCAGAGTGTAAATCAGGAAAGATCGACGAGCTCAGAGTGTGCAGACCGACAGATACAAGAGTGAGGAAGTAGGGGCACGAGACCAATCGAAAGACCACTTTGTTTAATTGAGGACCAAGTCTAACCTTTACTATCTTTGCAATTTAACACACAGAAACGTTGATAACCTCTGTTTATTTTTCAGGGAGAACACTTATTGAAAAACTCCACTATTAATATAAATAAGTAAGTTATTCCATCAAGCCGATTTAAAGTCATTATAACCACCTGTCCGTACAAAACCTTGCTCTAAAAATGCTTTTATACGTATGTATTTGTTACTGAGATATTCACACATGCTGGCCCAGTTTGGCTCAAAGTTAATTTTAATGGGGGGCTGTATAAACAATGATAAGGCTAAGCCACAACACCAGCAGCTACGTTCCCTACCCTTCCAAAGGGAGTTCTTTAACGTTCCTGATAGCCAGTACAGAGGAAATGCTGGAGACGGAGCCTACGGTTTATCATACTCATCCGAGAAGACTAGAATATCTAACTATTTTCCGATGTCATAGCAAAAGTGGCGCATTCTCCCCAGTTCTATTTACGATCCTGAGTGTTTGTCTGATCTGTAGCTTGAACGCTCGACCATCCCGCAAGGCAGTGCGGCTCCTTACAACGCGAATTGAAAATCTGAACATCATCAACTTGCGAATCACGATGCCTACTGGGACTCTGTGCGATGCATTTGACCTGCAAAAATAAAAAATTTCAGTGGGTTACTCTAGAAAGCTGGTTTCTAACTAGGAAAAGAAATGTCAGTCAGCACTACCTTCTCAAGATTACTCTCACCCTGAAGATCAGACTGCACAATAAACTCCTATTCCTGGGCTCAAACCGTTGAGTACTGAATCTAACCATACAACACCATGAAATGTTAGATGCTCTAGGTTTAGAAGGACATTTTGGCCTAAAAAAAGCCGCTTCCGAGCCGTCAGCATCCTTATAAGTTGGCCAACCGTCCTCATAGGATTTAGAGTGCGCTAGTTTAAAGTCTATCACCCTTTTATTACCATTGATGTCTCCTTGGATTGCAACAGCGCACACTTCAATAACGTTCCCGAGATCAACTTGAAGCCGCTGTTCGTCATTATTTAATTTGGCGCACCATCCATCTCTTCTGGTACCGTTTAGACGTCCATATGATGGTAGGGTGTTGACTTGGTAATGACTTTTTGCCCTCATCAAGCTGTCAAGAATGATATTCGAATTGAAAACTCCAACAGTATTACTATAGCAGTTATCATGGGTTTTTGCGTTCAACAAATTTGAATACTCGATTAATCACAACTTTAACCTATCTTATCGCCGTTTATAATTCACTAAAACTAACAGGATCATTCCTTTTACAAAAGGAAAAGTTTTGGACTTTTGTGTTACCTATAGGCGGGACGTAGGACGCGTGAAAGGTACAGGAGCGGATGCCGTGGGATAGAATCCACCAACAAACAAAAATAAGTCTACGAAATCAAAAATTGCAACATTTTTTCCGCACTGATGTTAGATATTAGATGTTAGATATTTCATAAATTTCATGCTTCGAACTTTAGACATGCACTTCGCGTACGCTAAAATGCAATACTTTCAACTTCTTTTAAATAATAATTTATCGTGCTCTACAAGGATATCTTTGGATTTTTATGCTTCAAGAAGTTAATTTAAAAGCTCCTTTACTCCATATCGACAGATTGCAATAATAAAATTTTGTCAGCAGCGTCTTAGTAATGATTTATAAAGCGTGGAAACCCTGAATGTAATTCTACGACGATTGTTCCAGTAAAAAAAACAATTGTAACGGCAAATGCTTACGATATAATTCCGTTGTAACATAAAACTTCCTTTGAATAAAGGCGATGGATACCGAGCAAGAAAAATACGTTTACATAGGCTTTTAGGAGTATATTATTCGCGAAATTTTCATTAAATATTCTAATCTCGAAAAAGAAAACCCTGTTTCTAATTTTAGAGTATCCTAAACCTCTACTAGTTACCACAGTCAAGATTTGAACCTATAGAGAGAGGGGTTTTTCGTTCTGTAGGTTAAAACATACTTCTATTTCCCAGGGTAACAGTCTAAACAGGAAAACATTCAAACGTCAGCCTTCTCACCTTTAATAAAAGTAGGAGCCTTTTAGGATTCATCTTGTCTCTTCTTTATTCCAAACAGAGCAAAAGCATGTTACGTAATTATAGTTTCTGTACATAATCCTCCTAATTATAATTTTCTTACTAAGAAACATTTCCCCGCTGAGATTCCAGTGAAGGAAAAAAAAAACACATCAATTTTTTAATAAGGTTTTCGCAATGGTTAAAGAAGGGAAATTGGTGGTAATATAGACAAACAGAAGTACGAATAATTTTTTAGATAGAATGTAACAGAAAATTTATTTTTTACTTTTGTCCCATTTGTTGTTATGAAAAAGAATAACTTCTCAATACATCTCTTTCTTTACCTCCTCGTGGAGTTTTATCTTTTTAATTGGTTAAATTAGCCCTTTTCAGGCCATTGTCCATGGAAAACAAGTGAAATAGCAGGTGAGCGACGCTTAGCGACGTCCTTGACAAGCCAAGTTAACCTTGGTACACCCACATTGTCTAGGCTGACTGAGAACCTGGTACAGGATCTTGGTGAATACGATCGCACGTATTAGAGTGCTTAGGTATCCCACAAGCTTTTCGTTATTTATTCTTTTGATGGATTTCTTGTTTTGGAACTGTTGGCTTGACTACTGATTTTATTCACAGTGTACGTATTGTACTCATTTTGTGCGTTTGTGAATATGAACGAGAACCCCCAACTGCAATATTATTCTGCCAGACTACCTAGGCTATGGTTACACGGTTACTACAAAGATCATTAAATTATGAATAGGTAGGCCTACCTAGACACAGTTGTTATGAATATTCCAACAATGGTAAAGGCGGGGGCTCATAAAGACAGTTTTCAATCAATACAGTCTTCTGCAAGCAATTCGTTCCCTAGAAACAAAACTTCCTCAGAGAAATTTCTCTTTTAAGTTTAATGTACATATGTGAAAACGGGATTTCCTTCAAAATAAGAATCTTTGTATATGAATGAGTCTGAATTCCTGTAGCGCTTGATTGACTCTAATTTTTTTTTT